GTGACAAACTACTGCATGGGGGGAGGAGACTGCTGGGCTCAGCTGCACTGGGGGTGCTGTTTCTCCACGGATCCCTGAAAATGGGGCCTGGTGGCTTGCGGGGGTTCAGAGTCAGAGGCTCAGCAGGTCAGGTCATCCCCCCAAGTTCACCATGTGCCCCAAGAACATCAGGCCACTGCGAGCTCTCAAGGCATATTTGGGATGGGGGTGGTTAGCAAGGCTCACCCCATCCCTGCTAGGCCATCCATTTACCCTTCTCAAATCCCAGCCTCCTCCTCTGGAAGATGTTCGTGCTGTTCTCACAGTGGCTGAGAGACCCGGGAGGTCTCAAATGTGAAAGTGCTTAGCAAACCGTAAAGCCCTGGATACTCTGTGCGACTATTGCGTCTCTTTCTCTGCCGCGACAATGAATCCACCCAGATGCTGAAACAGCCTCAGCTTTGAAGAACCCCATGATCTCCACTCACTTCCCCCAACTTAAGCCAGGAAGGTGGCTCACCAGCCGGTGAGGAACAATGCCCACAGCTTCTTCTGTGTCTCTACCAGGTCTGTTCTGTGTCAGGGCAGGTGCGGCTGCGGCAGGATGGTGGGAGCCAGTAGCATCAGATGGCCAGGCTGAGGAGGATGTGGCTGGCTACGCACGATGCATTAGGTCTGGAAAGCCAACCCTTTGCTAAAGTCCCCTCAGAAATGGTCCTCGCCCACTTAGTTTTCTCACTAGGCGCACACCCAAATGAGGTGACGATGCACTTTGAAGGTCAGGGAGCCGGGTTTGTGGGCTTCCATCTGGTCTCATTTGGCTTTTGGGGTTTGGCGCCTCTGACAGACACATGGAGAACTGCCTTGTCATCCTGAATCAGGCAGCCAGCCTCTGCACACGAGTATGTGCGAGATTTCACACCTGTTCGCTGGAGGAAAGAGGCCGGGGCCGGAGGAATTGAGGTGTATTTACATTCTCTGTGAGTGTTTGGACTTTTAAAGGGAAAAAAAAAATCGACATTTTGCAGGGCATGTTATAAACCAAGGTCAGTGCTCCCCCTGCAAGGTATTGAAGAAACACGAACAACTGAAAGCAGAGGAAAATCTGATTCCCATCTGCTCGAGTTGGGGAGGCCCCCTCATTTGTTCAAGGGGTTCTGACCTGCTGTGCTGATTAACCTCTCTCAACAAGACTTTCCTCAAGGGGTGCAGAGCAGGTCTGTATTGGAGTTTCTTTTTTCCAATCTATTCTGGGTCATGCAGTGACTGTACCTCATGTGCCAAGAACCAGAAGGAGTACCTTGAACATGCAAAGGTGAGCATTTGAAAAATAGTGCTTTTGTTCCTTTTCTGTGTTATATGACTTTTCAGAGTAAGCACAAATTACTTGAAAAAGACAACAAAATAATTCTTTTTAAAGGCAGCTGTGATAAGGAGCCCAGAACACATTCTACATCAACTAAGGTGATGCAGCTGGACACAGGGGTGGGGATGAGAGCAGGGTGGAGTGCTCCCATCCCCACCACCCCAAATCTAATGTGGTGATTCCTCTCATTCCATATTGTTCTTCTCAAGGAGTCTCAGTTGACATTAACCATCTTGAAGTGTGCCGCTGTGAAATTGCTGAGCCACTCATGAAAATGCTAGAATGTACTAGAGTTGACCAAATACCTCCACATAGAATCCCATTTAGTGGCCTCAACCACCCTGTGGGATGACAATTATTATCCGCATTTATAATGGTTGACAAGACTTGACAATTCTAACAGTACCAGTTGCAAAACTAAGTGGAGATAGAGATAGGACTTCTGATCCAAGTCTAAGACTTAGCAGGAGGCCCAAATTGTCAAGTGGTGACATTTCAAGCCCTAGGGCCAGCTTGTCCATGTTCAAGTCCCAGCTTACTTATTTGCTTTGTTGACTGTTAGGCAAGATGCTTAAATTCTTTGACTCTTGCTTCCCTCGTCTATAAAATGATAGACTCCCTTTGCAGGCTTGTCATGGAGATCGACTGGAAAGATCCCCATAAAGCACTTCACCAAACACTGGACATGTGTCAGATCCCTGGATTGGGGAATTATTGAGAATATATTCAATTATTCCATTAGTCCCTGTACCTATTGAAAGGTCTCCAGACCAAAACCTCTGATTCCTAGGGTAAGAAACTGCAGCCAGACCTGCATTGTTACAAAAATTTAAAAATCTCTTCAAAGCATCTTTGACACCTAGAAAATAAGCAATGGTCTGAAGGCTTTTCCAGATTTGCCTAAGATCCCAGTTAATGAAAGGACTGGAAGGAGTCAGGGTCTTCCCAGGGACAATGTTAACAGATCTTTTGGGGTGTAATAAAATATTAGTTAAAATAATTCCATTATGGGGGAGGAAGCACAGGAAGACAGGAACACCCCCTGTGATGAGTGTTTATGCCTGGCAGACATGGAATAAGGATGGTTAACTTTAAGTGTTTGTACATTTCAGTCATGTTTAAATTTCTTAATACAGATATACATTATCTTGTTATAAGAATTAAAAGGTGGCCTCATTCCTATACTACAGGCTGTAGAAGCCACCTCTGGCCCTTCTCAACAGGGAAACTGTCATTTTCCCCCTAAGACCAGGTCAACCATGACTTCCACTAGGAAATTTAAGCCTCACCTATGATTGAATAGCGCCGCACACCTCCCAATGTTATGGCGCTTCATTAATTCACTCTGTCAATTTTTCATCCATTCAACAGATTCCTGTGGGGTCTCTGAGAGGCAAAGGCCAATGAGACCCTGTTTCCTTGGAACTTACTCTGGTGGGGGAGATTGACGATCACCCCAGACCTGGATTCTTTAGCTGTCCCGATGAAGATGGAGCTCTGATGGAGATGGGACAAGAGCCAAAGCAGCTTACACTCAAGAGACCTGACAGAGGCCAAGAGGCCTGGGAAGGCATCTCTGTGCAAGTGACCTTTCAGCTGGGAACTGTGAGATGGGAAGCATTCACTAGGTGAAAGGGGTAGGAGGAAGATATGGTTGGGGCTGAGCACCCAGCAGGCTCTGAAATGACAGGGAACAGAACTCACCAGAGAAATGAAAGTAGATCAGCCTGTTGGTATGGCAAAGCCAGGAAGAAGGGCTTAGATGAGGTCAAAGAAGGAGCAGCCCAGATTATGTGAGCTTGTACTGAACATGGGACTTTAAACCTTCCCCTAAGATCAGTTAAAGGCCAGAGAGATTTACCCCATGGGCACCACTGGTTTTCTTGTCTGTCTTTGCTCATTTCCATATTCCACACCAGCTCCCAGCTCAATGCCCAGCAACTCATGGAAGCCGAGTGATTGACTGTTAGTAGCTCAACAGCATCACCCTAAAAAGGAATTTGCAAAATGAAAGCAGGACTGTGTTCTACCTCTCTCCTCTCTTTTGTTTCCCCCAGAGCAGGCCTGCAAACTGAGCGGGAATCGATCTCCACAAAGAAGGAGCCACAAGCAATGAGTTGCCATTAAACCATGTTCCCAGCTGACAGTCCTTCCAAAATGCCCATGACTAGCAAAAGATATCCTGGCCCATGAGACATGCAAGCCCAAACTGCGGACTCAGAGGAAAGGGGTGAGGCTCTGCCGAGGGCTGCACATCACGTCTCAGCCAGGTGTCAAGGCTGGCTCCTCCACCCCCTGCCCAAAATCTGTATTTAGAGGCTTAATTATGTGATTTTGTTTTTCTTTGGGTCAAAGAGAGTAGGTGTAGGGGAATTTTTAATGCTGCACAAAAAATGAAAATATACAGAAAGCATCCTGACCCCAACCTGCATGTCAAAGCCATTGGATTCCTCAGCAGCAACAGAATACTTTTTATAGAATGGGAAGTCAATTGAGAAATCATAAAAAATTAGAGTTGGGAAGGACCTCTGTGCTCAGGAAGGTCAGGTCCCAGGCTGCTGGCGAATTATTCCCTGTGGTGAAGGGTCTAATGTTTTGTCCACTCAAGTTTTAAATATCTCTACCAATAGCTGGCCCCTGGGGATGCCTCTCCACAGGGCAATATATCTTGCTGTCAGGCCCTTTTTCCTGCTATTCAATCTCGCTGTTCCTTTCCTCCACTTCATCCCATTTGTCTTTGGCAATGATTTCGACAAGAGTGTGCTGACGTTTGAAAACAAAAAGCCCTGTCTTTGCCTTCAACTTCATTTTGCAGCCCCCTTCACCTACAGAAACTTCCAGATTTGGGAGGGAGAGAGGGAAAAGCAGAGGGGAGAGGGGAGGGAAGCAAATTAGCTGACGATGCTGTTTCTGAAAGAGGCCAAGCCCATGCCGTGAGCCCCCAGGCAAACATGGAGAATATTCATGCCTTGGGTGCATGCAAGTTACAGGGACCCTGACGCCAAAGGCAGAGGGATGGCCACAGAATTTTCTGGACAGCCCAGAAAACAGCCTTTTGGCACAAAGGTTAGGACAGAAGGTGGCAGCAGAGTACCAGGCTCCATGAACCAAGCAGTCCTCCCGCTAATGCAAGTCCCAACTGCTCTGCAGCCAGCTTGGGAGAGCATGTTTAATGGGCCAGGAAGCCTGTTTAGGCCAAGAGTGAGCTGTGAATCGAGGCCCTGGCCAATCTTGTAAGACAAATCCCAAACAGCGAGAAGTCTGTGAGCACAGTCCATTTTCTCCCGAAAAATATCCCACAGCCAAAAGTTAATCCAAAGAATAACTTCAGTCCTAAACAGAGAGATGGGTCCAGGCCGATCTAAACACATAAACTTGCAGTCTGATCAGGGATGGTGTGTGCAATTTTTTGTTTAAAGAAATTGGGGGTGAATGCAGTTTTCTTTGTCTTCCTTCCTTGCCCCAAGTCATCTATTTCTGCATTTGTCTCCAGTTTTTCCGTGTCTTTCTTTAGTTGTCTTTCTTACTTGACAGTGTTTACAGGCCCTCCTGCCCACCACCCCCCTCAAAAAGTCTAGAGACTAAGGATTTCTAACTTCAGCGAGTATCCTGCTGGGGAACCAATTAAATGTACTACTCACTAGGGAGAGCGTGATATTTTTTATTACTGTCTAATTTGGGGCCCTGAAATGGCTTCCATGATGAGAACATTCTTCTGCAGAAGGACCTAAGGAAAAGCAGAACAAACAACAGGGCAACGCAACCTTTCCCTCCTTTTGCCTTATCCCACCGGAAAGAGCCAGCTACTTTGGGGAAGTCTCTCGTTGAGCAGTCAGTGAACTGAGAAAAAGAAAGGATAGCAGAATTAGAACAAAACAATGTCACTAGATTCCAAGTCGATTTAAACTGTAACAGTAAATCAAAACCAAGCCTCTCTCTCATTACTGATGACCTGAGAACAGGTCTCCTAAATGCTCATTACGGGAAAAGGAAGAGTTGTGTTTTATTTCTAAGTACACGCACAAGAACCGCCGCCCAAGGTTCTAACTGCTGCTGTGTCATGTCGCTTTTCTTTAAAGAGTTAGCATGAAAAGGAAAGGCTTGAAAAGGAGGTGGGAGTGGGGTCCAAATAGGTTCTAATGAGGAAGAAGAAAATAAAAGTCCATTTCTCCCTGAATGTCTGAATTTCTATTTATTTATCTTTACATCAAGGAGGATGGATGCCTTAAAATCCAGAATGGCTCTTGAATAAAACCAAATACTAACAACCCAGCAAAACAAACCCAAATAATGAGCGGTCCAACTCCTTGCCACTTGCCAGGGGGGTCTTGGCTGATTTTTTTTTTTTTTTTTTTTGCTTTGCTTTCTTTTCCTGGCTTGCCTGCTTGCTAGCTTGCTTAGCCAGGAGGTGATTCTGAATGTTTATCTGAAGTATCTCCCTGATAGTCAGAGGGGACTTTTCTCTCTGGCAAAAGCTCCCCTGAAAACAGGGGTTTGTTTCGATTGTTTCAGTTCCCATTAAATAATGCTCAGTGCTGTGAGTCTTTTACTAGTGAATGGTTTATTTTAGGGAGACTATGAAAAACCTGACTTATAGAACCATCCTCAACAGCCACTTTTGTGAAATGTGATTCAAAAAAAATGGCCATTTATAATTTTGTAATAAACCAGCTATCAGATTTGCTATTATAGGATGCTCTGTTAAAATTATCTTTCCTACTTCTAAATAGAAATCCCACGAGAGCAAAAATGTTTATCTTTATTGTTTATAGCCTTCTTAAGTACCACTTTATCATATGATTTAAAATTCAACAATATAATTTAGCAGTCAGTATTTATTTAAAGAAAGGGTAAGTGTTTCGCCAGTTTCTCTGAATTTAAAGTCACAAACCAAACCACCTTACTTCCTTGCTGCCTGTCTCCCTCCCTCTCTCTTTTCCTTCTTCCATTCTTCTATTCCTTCTATCTTCCCTTCTACTCATTTTAAAAACGTGATTGAAAGTTGTTGGATGTCAAGTGTTCATAAAAATTCAATTCAAATTCCATATACGCTTCCAAATTCATATTCCAACTTCAGTCCAAATTCCCTCCAGGAATAAAGAGTTGCAGATCATTTGAAATGACCAACTTCCTTGACAAATCTTTAGGGAGACTATACTACTTAGACTAAAAAAGGCAATGTTCCAGATCAAAATATAGTCCAGGTCTACACTGGCAAAGAGAAGTGTGCCAAATATACAACAACTAGAAGCACACACACTGAACGGATCAAAATACTCAAGGCATCCAGGTAACCGAGACTCTGAATGACCCTAACCACCATCTCAATTCTTCATGAATTTCACCTATAACACATCAACACTCGGCCACCTCTCGCCTCTTACAACAGACGACACCTTGCTAGCCTCTGGGAAGTTGCTCTCTTTCAATGAACCAATTTGGCATGTTATGTTCTACAGTTTTTTAAATTAACAATGGACCCAAACAGAAACACAGCTGGTATGGAGCTAGATGCAAAGGACAATCACCCAGTGGCTTCGGATCTATTCCTTATCAAAATGAGCTGCCTTGCTTGTCCTGCTCCCGTGACTTAAACAGACACCATTAATTAGCCAACCTGTCATTATGTGCTGGTCATGACCGATGTTTCCAGGATTCTCATTTTAAATACAGATTTAGCTACAAGTGCCCAAGCTGGGCCTGTGGGGAGGAGGCAGAGGGGAGTGGTGGAGATGAGGGTAGGACCCAGGTTCACTCAAGTTTCTCTTGTCGCTGCTGCAAGGACTCACATGGCGGCCGCAACAGTTTTCTCCTCGCATTGAGCAAAGCTAAATTTTTCCAGACTGGGTTGAGGAATTTTCTTCAGAATATCTGCATGAATTATGAATCTGACTTCTAACCAGATGTCGGTGCTCTGCCCTTCCTGTTCGCGCGGGGTGCATCTATGGTTAACTCATCATGCCCCTCGTGTTGGTCTCATTTTTCAGCCCATTCTCATTTGGAGGTTAAAAAAGAATGGGAGTTTCTTTGTAAGTCACTTTGATTTTACAGTCTCGGGGAAAAGATCCATGGAACTCCGAAGAGAATGTTGACAGAAATGAAGAGGGGGAGGGGCACAAAGCAAGGCAGATGATAAAAAGAAAAAAAAAGCCAAAGAATAATAAACTATGTGTTTTCCAAACAGACAGACTTCTGGTCGCCCACCTAAACCAAAACCATCAGTCAGGACATTCCCGTGGTGGCTTCTTTCAAGGGGGTGCGCTATCTTTAGGAAACACATCCCCTGGTAGGCTTTGCAGGAAGCAAATTCAATGTTCAAAGCCATGGCAGATTCTTAAATTTCTGTCTTTCTCGCCCTGACTTTCTACTTGAACATTCTTATTAAAAATTTCCTCCCTCCACCTTAACATATGCAATTTTCCAAGGCAAAGAATGACTTTTTAGAGTCTCTGTGCGCCCATAAAATTCTGTCTCAGAGATTTTATTAATAATCATAAAAACATCTGTATCCATCAGGATCACTTTGGAAGGGAGCAGCAATTTTTCCTAAAAGGGTACTGAAATGGTCTGAGACCGATGTTACCAGCAAAAGGGGTTAACTCGGGACTGGTGATTGATCAGACCTCCCCGCTTCCCAGCAGCTCACCATGGAGGACTCAGTGGCCGGAAGCTACCACAGGTCTGCTCGCAGGCTCCCAACCTTGCCTGCAGCCAGAAGCAGCTCCACATGCAGGGAAGCATTCCAACCCTGGTGGCTGCAGGCTGTGCAATTATCCATGACATGGAGGGCCAGGGCGGGAAGTTCAGCACTGCACGGTTTTTATGGCAGGAGGATATATTTCTAGGGACCCTGAGAAGTCTAGAATGTCATGCCTAAATGACAATTTGACTGTTCCTCAGCCACTTCTAAGCATGGACCAAACAGCCCTGGATTGTCAGTTACAAGCAACCAAAGCAGCAAACAGTGACAGTCGCCCTGCAAAAGGAATTGTCAGGGGGTTCCCTTGGCTCTCCTTTCAGAGGAGGTTGACCAGGTGACTGTGACTCTTCTCTCCCCCAAGCGACTTCACCTTTTCTTTACATGCCATATTGTAAGCCCTGCAGTCACACCAAACTTCGATCACAGAAATTCAAAAGTCTAATAACCTGGTGTGAGTTGAGCAATAGACGATACTGCACTATGTGATGATCCCACCGAGAGAAAAGTTATTGACAGGAGGTCAAATGCTCTCATAATCCACCAACATCCAGGCAGAGTGTCTAAGTCAAGATTCTCAATCCTGCCACTATTGACATTTGGGGTTGTTAATTCTTTGTGGTGTGTGCTTGCCTGTGCCAAGTAACATGTAGCCACAACGCTAGCTCCTAACTAGCAGATGTCGGTAACACCTTCCTCTAGCTGTGACAACCAAGTCTCTCCAGATACTGCTGAGTCTCTTCTGAGAGCTAAAATATCCCCATTTGAGAATCTCTGGTTTAAGCGACATGAAATGCATTCTTAAAAGTTTCATAATTCTTCTCCCAATAAAAGTTCCCATATTATTCTTTGTCCTTTGAGTCATGACCATAAGTGAGATAAGCAGACATACCCATTCATGTACACAAGTTTGATCGTAAGTTCTTACAGAGTTTTTCATCCTTGACATTTTCTAAATTGCTTTATTTTGAACATCAAGCAAGTGGTTGGGGGAAATATTAGCTTCAAGTGAACTCAACTGATGATAGTTAGTAGGGGAGAGAAGACTGCACGCTTACAGATGTCATGTCATCTGATAACATCCGAGGTGGGAAGAGAGAAATATTTAACACCAATGTGGTTGTTATTTCTGAAGTTATGACTTCATTATTAAAAATACTGAAGGTATTTTAAGCAAGTCTTTTAAAATTCACTTTTAAAAAGCATATTGTAACTGATGACCTTGTGGAAATGATAAATATCCATTCATAGGACAAATGAAAATATCTCTTGGGCTTAGAATAAAATTTTCAGTAACAGCATCTTACAGGGATTCAAAGTGCCAAGTCTTAAACGATTTTGAAGAGAAGGTGATATGTGATAGAGAACTCTGCTCCGTGATTCAAAAATGGTTTCGGTGACAGAGAAGGCAAATGACAAAGGTGTGTGGGAAGAGTCTGAGTAAAATTATTTCATGACCCAAGCTTTTCTTTTTTTAATTGGGGAAAAGAGTACTTCTGTTTGTACATTTTATACTATATGCAAATAAATTGATACTAGTAGAAGCAAGCATTTACTATGTCATGAAAGTTTCTATGTTCATGTAGATTTTCTCTTTGGAAAGTGGGTCAATGCCTGATATTTGTGTTTGCTTTCTACTCAGGCATATACTCAATTGAAGCACCTACTGTTTTCAAGACTTCATGGGAAATGCATGCAGCACATGTTTCTGATCCTCCAAGAGTTCCTGTTCTTGGTGGGAAGATCAGACAGAAGCAGGAAGAGAAGTTTCCCCGTGCTTCAGTATAATTTGACTTCCTATAAGTGGCTCAGAGGATATGCTAAGAGGAGGAGGAGGCAGGATGAACTTGGAGGGACATCTCCTCCAAATGAGCTTCTTAAAATTCAGATTAGATGTCTTGCCCCCGTGGAAGACAGCAGGTCAATGTCCCTAAGGTGGTTTCCAGGGCCAGTCTGCTCATCTCCTTCCTGCCACTCCACTTCTAGATCAGCTCTCCTTCTGTGACACCCCTCCTTGCCCTTGCTTGACAAACCCCCTCCATCTCCAGCTTTAACTCTCCTCCTGATATGCCCCCTACCTAACTGTTCCTTGCAATTTGCTCTCTCCAATCCTTTTCCCTCACAAACCCCCTCCAGGTCTCCA